TATATTGAATTTTATATATATATTCATTATTAGTGCTATCAGGCAGGGGGCTTACAAGCCCCTATGTGATAGTTTGGAGGTGACCGGTTCTCTTTATGAAGCCTGCCCTACAATGCTGAACAGATCTTCTGTGCAGTTTCTGATCGCTGAGAAAGGTGGCGCTGTGATTAGAACGGATGTTCTCTGTGATCAATGAGACAGGAGCGCTGCTTCCCGCTCTTCATTCTGAGCTCATTTGCCAGGGATTCTGAAAACCGTGGTAGGGGGCGGACAAGATCGCTGCTCATATTATACAAGTGATCTGATCACTTGTACTAAAAGAGCAGGGGCTACCCCGATCTACATTTAGCTTTGCTAGTCCGCTGCAGGGCTAAATGTAGAAAAAAAACGACACACCATGAACTTCATGTCACAGGCGTTGGGGCGATACGAATTCCACATCCCTGGCTTTACATAGTTGCACATTCACATCAGTCCCTGCCCTCAAGGAGCTTGCAGTCTAAGGTACTTCTCTCACAGGCATACATACAGGACTGATTTAGACAGGAGCCAATTAACCTTCCAGCATGTATTTGGAGCGTAGGAGGAAATCGGAGTACCCGGAGGAAACCCACATGAGCACAGGGAGAACATGCAAACTCCTTGCAGAGAGTGTCCTGACCTGGATTTGAACTAGGGACCCCCAGTGCCGCAAGGCAGATGTGCTAACTGCTAGTAAAGCCCCCGCAGATGACACTGGACTATCTACTCTCCTGGTGTAGTCTGTAAGGCTTGGCTGTCATTATGACTGACCGGTCCTGCTCTGTGTTTTAGGAGCGCTGACAGCTGCTCCTTTTATGAATGCCGCTTGCAAACGGTTTGCAGTCTTCATTCATAAATGAATGCTTAAGTACCAGTTAAAGTATTGTCCTTTAATGCCAGTTTCAGCAAACCCGGAATTGTAAAAAATTTGTTTCTGGCCACTGTGCATGTTGTGGGCTGGCAAGCACAGTCTCTCGTTGCTTCAGCAGAGCTGTTTACTTGGCTACCAGGGGACCTTGTCTTGGTACTAATACCACCATCCAAAATACAGCAAGTGTCCGCAACCATAAACACATCAGCCTGTGTCAGAATTGTATACTGGTTTTACTTGGCTTTGTGGTCTGTGTGTGTGTGTGTATATATAATTTACACACAGAGGGCTTTGTGGTCTGTGTGTGTGTGTGTGTATATAATTTACACACAGAGTCCTACCCTCGCACACCCTTGGTCCTAGTGCTACTGCGATAGCATCAGTTAGGACTATACCACACTAGCAATCCCTTCACTGCCAGCAATTCACCAGCACAATTACTAAGAGAGCAGAATAAACATTTGCCTGTTTCTGCAGCTAATCTCCTTTGCTGACAGAACCGTGAAGTTGTTGCTCTGTCATTGCTTTCTCAATGGCAAGCAAGGTTCTGCAATGTTACACCCAACAAGGAAGCAACGCCATTAGAGCACGCTGTCTGTAACGAGAGGACACAAGAGTTGTAATCATTATTGTAACTTCGGCAAGGTTTTTATGTGCTGCCCCCTCGCTTTTTTTTCTCATTGCAAATTGACCACCCAGCTACCTGTACCCACCCAGCTGAAAAATAATTTCTATGGAGAACAGTGTGTACGTATGAATGTACAATACATAAAATGGTTTAATTTGGCAGGTGGCGAAAGCTTCCAGCCCTCTCCTATCATGAGTAACCACATGTATACTGTATCCATGTTCCTGAGTGGTATGTGAATTTGCCCTTCCCTGGTATAACATTAATGTTTATCAGCAGTTTGATGCTGCTGTGTGTGTGTGTGTGTGTGTGTGTGTGGTACAATTGCAATTCCGTGTGCGGAGGGGTGTATTGTGCATGGTGTGCGGTGTGCGGCTCTGGTTTGTGTTTTTCCTGTGATAGCTGGGTATGTTCTCACCTGTTTTAGACAACCAGAAGCTGGTTAGTTCTTTGTCACTGAAGCTGCTACACAAGCAGACCCTCCTGGGCTTCTCCCGCTTCTATTTTATAGGGGTCCCCCAATGCTGGATGAACACCGTGAGTGAGAAAGGTAACCAGGCTTGGAGGTGGCTGCTCCTCCTGGCCCAAGTCATAGCGAGGTAAGGTGGGGGCCCTGTAGAGCAGAGCGTCCCTTCAGAGTGCCAACCTAGGCCGAAGCCATATGCTGTGTGATGTGGAGATAGATGGGCTGCCGGAGGCCCTCTTGTCTGTCTTCTACAAGTTTTCTTTGAAGATGGTGAGGAATCTGTACCTGTCGTAGGATCTTCTATTTCTGATATCATGTCCCTGCTTTGTTTATAGGCCAAGAAATATGCCATGGAACAGAGCATCAAGAGCGTCCTAGTGAAACAAACCATTGCCCACCAGCATCAGCAGCTCACCAACCTCCAGGTACGTGTCCTGTCCCATGACCAGCCAGGATTATGTGCTCAGTATGACTTTGAATGGGGAAAGTTAAACTTGTCTTTTTTTTTTTTTCTCCTTTCTTTTGTATATTTTAATGTTGTGATGTGAATAATTTCTGTTAATTGGAAGTTTCCACCATTTAGAAGTCATTGGTTTTAGTTATGTTACCCCTCCCTCAGAACTATTCTGTTAGGTCCCTCCTTTTCCCAGCTACCGTCAGCTATGGGGTGTCTGCCTCTCATCACAGTTCCCTGTAAATCTAGTTTTCCCTTCACTTGGACCCCCATAAGCTGTGGTTGTGCAAGGCTGTGTCCTGAAGTCAGCCGGCTGATAAGGGAGCAGGAGAGCCTTGCGTCTTGGCTTTGAATAAGTGCATATGATTCGTATGATTCGTGTTATCAAGGATCTCCCGCTTGTGTATTTTGGACCCCTCTGGCTCTTAGTAATATCAGACTCCCAAATGAACACCATCTGACTTGCACACTTGTACTAGACACACCAGGTACTGATATAAACACTTGGGACATTTGCCTAAAAGGGATTTCCTTTTGAATTGTGACTATGGGACAGGAAGTGAAGGGATATTGTAAAGCGCTGGACAAACTGTTGGCGCTATATAAATCCCGTATAATAATAATAATAATCTTATTGGGGCACAGATTGCAAAAGTAAGCTGAAATAATTTTTAACCTTTGCCTATGTTAGGGAAAAATAAGTGGCCCCTGCATGCAGAATATGGAGCTGTAATGTACATAATAAAAAGTGGAGTCAGGACCCTCTGGGCCCAAGGATAAGTAAAACAAAATCCAAACTGTAGTTTTAGCTGCCCAGCCTTTTCATTAGTTGTATTGTGTCCTCGGGCTCTTTGTTTACGGTCACTAGACTGAGCACCTTGTCCAAGAGGAAGGACAGATACCACCTCCCTGTCCTTCCGTTTGGAGGACGCCAGTACTTACATGACCGTCTGAGCTGTACAGTTAGAAGCAGACTTCAGTGTAGCTCTAATAACCCTGAAAGCTGAGCCTACTTGGCTATAGAAATCAGTGACCGGGGATCCCACAGAGGCAGATCATATGATCACATGTGTGGATTTGGATTTGATGATGGCGCTGAGTTAATATATATTAAAAAAAAATCAGTTGCTGACCAGCTGAACATGCTGGCTGACCACAGCCACGTTCTGAACCATTGAACTGGACAAGTACGCAGAACAGGAGTTCTCACTTCACTATCTACATGCTTGTTCCAGGTTAACAATTCAGAAACTGTATTCTGAGAATCCGCAGGATGGACTGACAGTCAGCATTTTTAGCTGATCAGAAGTGGCAATCTATATTTGTCTTATGACTGGTTCCCTTTGCAGCTACTTGTCCTTTAAATGCCCTATTAATTAACCCGGAGTGATGAGTGAGTAAAGGTGCCCATACACTGCACGATTATCGTACGATAATCGTATGCGATCGGTTTTTCGTACGATAATCGAGCAGTGTGAACGGAGACGTGCGACCGTTTGTACTGTACGGTCGCACGTCTTCTGTCGAACCAGCATGTTCGAAAACCAGCCGGGAATCGTACGATTCTCGGCTGGTTAGAACGGTGCTCGGAAGATAAATGCTGAACGGGCCGGTGTGCGCACGCGCACACTGCCCGTTCAGCATTGCGGTCATCGGAAGCCCGCCCCTCAGGAGGGCGGGCTTGCGATGATCGAGAGTGCGATCTGCCTGTCCAAGATAGGCAGATCGTACGTTTTTTTAATCCCTTTACAACCATCGCAAGACTAAAGTCTTGCGATGGTTGTAGAGTGTATGGCCACCTTTAGACATCAATACTCGTGGCAGTATGTTATTCAGTCATTGTTACCTTCTGTAAGGTGATGGCACCCAAGCCTGGAAGGCCCATTTAGACTAGAATGCTGGGGGTCAATGATGGAGCTGAAGTGGAACTGCAACAAAACCCCAGTATTTTACATCGAAGATGAGACAGGATAGTAACTGTTCAGGGAATGTAGAATAGACGGCTTTGCACAAAGCTTCAGAAAAAGCATTGAAGTGATAACTTACTATACTTTGGTTGACACGAGCGGTGACCTTTGGCCTAGTCACCTGGAAAATGATGACATCATGCGTGGAGCTGCTATGGAGATGGGAGAGATGGATACGTTTTCTGGGCCTGTAAATGAGAGAAGGCGCCGGACATTTTTAAGTGGCCCGGGCCCAAAACTGCTTCCACGTATCTCCCTCTCCCCTCGTCATAGGAGCTCCTTAAATTATGTTGTCATTTTCCAATTACTTAAACCCAATGTCACCTATCATCTCAACCAGAGTATGGTTAATGATTTTTTAGAACTATCTAAAAAGTCAGGTATTTCCCTTTGCCTGCACCATTCCTATCCAGTTTTATCCTTGCTGTAAAATACATTAAGTTTGGATCAGTTCTGCTTCATGTCCATCATTGGCCCCACACGTCTTCCACTTATAATACCGTTTTAAAATTTCTACCTTTTTTACCATTTGACCTTTCACAACTTTAGCCAGCCATGTGAATGGAAGGCTTAACACCTTGCAGACTTTCTGACACCAGTGTAGGATTTTGTAAATGGTTTCATGGCTTTCACACCTTTCATCCTTGGATGCTCAACATCTACACATTTCATAGTGATTGGTTGAAGGTGTCTGTGATACCTGTGTGGATATAAATGTTGGGAATATTCCTGATGCTTAGAACTGAAGACATGGCTTGGAGAGGCTACAAAATGTCTTCAGTAGGGATGCACAGATACCGATATTTTGGTACCGATAATTTTTTTCCGGTACTCGTCAATACCAATTACCGAGTACCGAAAGTCCCATTCAGGAAGCCAGGTGGCGTGTAATGACCCTCCACCCGGCTTCCCGATTAACAAGAAAGCCTGTCCCCCCTCACCTCGGCATGTCCAGCCTGTCACCCCCGGGGCCTCTCCAGCCAGGAGCGGCCTTCCTCCAGTACCCAGCCGGAGCCGTCTTGCTGGCCAATCATGGAAGCCGGGCGCCATCTACTGACGCAGCGCCCTGCTTTCCGTTTGGCCGGGAGGCCGGCTCGTCATGAGATGACGAGGGAGCATGAAGCCGACTTCCCGGCCAATCGGAATGCTGAGCGCTTCGTCATTACAAGGCGCCCGGCTTCCTGATTGGCCAGCTTCCCGATCAATCAGGAAGCCGGGGAGCGTGTCATTACACGCTGCCCGGCTTCCTGATTGGCCGGGAAGTCGGCTCCATGCTCTCTCATCACAAGTGACGAGAGAGCATGGAGCTGCTTCCCGGCCAATCGGGAAACCTGGCAGCGTGTAATGACGCGCCGCCCGGCTTCCTGATACAGGAAGTATCGGGCTACGCATCGGAGCATTTGGGCGAGTACTCGCCCAAATTCTCGGTATCGATACTAGTATCGGTGCATCCCTAGTCTTCAGTATTGCAGACCAAGTCCAAATGAATGTGAACAGCTACTACTAGCTAAGGCAGATGGAGGATCAGAAATTAAAGGTAATAAAGGTGGCAGAGAGAATTCCAGAGGCCTGTAAAGAAAAGAGTTTAGGAGGAAACAATGTGGATCCTCCCAGAGGGACAGGCCCGGGCTAAGATGGGAGATGTAGAGGCCACGGGGGGGCCTTGATCAGGCAATATGACATTGTGACATTTGTCTCATTGTTTGCCTGAGGAAGGGGGCCCCTGTGGCCCCAAAACACTGTTTGCTTTGTGATATGTTGGACTTGAGTCATTAACCCCTTCATGACTGAGGCCCATTTTTCATTTTTTGCACCCATGTTAGGGGTTAAAGGACCGAGTTGCATCATAGTTGGTGTGCCAGTGACTCTTCTCTATATTACTTGTGATTGTGGCGCCATCAGCTTGTCACTGCAGCACCCACCACAAACTTTGGAACCTACCGGCCAGAAGTGCGATGGGACACGTGCACTCCTTCATTGCCCAGTCACGGGGTCCTAGACCAGGATGCATTGCAGTCTACATAGACGTCTCAGAGGGTGCAGTATTTGCCAGTGCTGTCCCACAGGGTGTCTTTATAGCGGCAGCAGCCTCCATAACGGTTGGGGCCGAATGCCTTTCATACGAGTGTTACATCTTGTTGCTTCCTCATCCCCATCACTATGATACGTAACCTCACTGGCCGATGGAGTACCGGAGTCAGAGAGGAATGAACAGGATTCGGCAGGAAGTGCTGATACCTTTTTAGGATTCGGCCTTAAAAACCAAGATTAGGATGTTGCTGCACGTTCACCTAGAGCAGTTCATGTAAGCTGGCAAAGTGACCACGTCCCTTTTTAATAAGACTTCTCAGGGTGGTTTTAAATACATCAATGGGGTATTTCAAATGATAAAATCTGCGATTCCCATTTGCCACAACTAAGGTCCAAAGGTTCAAAATGTGTAAGCTGGAGATTCTTGCTGTTTTTGTTTTATTAATCTGCATTGATATTAATCCGAGATGTGGGGCTGTCCTTCAAACATCCTTTTGCTGTATGTGCGGAGAAGCATTAGATGGTGCACTCCCCCAGGGGTGATTGCAGTGCTAGTTGGTGGTTGAGCGGCCCTATAGCTGGTATTGCCCCTAGCCAAGTGACCCCCCTTATATATAGGCAGGTTCTCTGTTGCTTGTGTCTATTTGAATCTAGAGCAGAGAACGTGTTACGCAGAAGGCGGCAGCAGACTGAACTCTGTCTTTACTGTCTTTCAGATGGCAGCAGTGACAATGAGCTTTGGAGATCCTCTCTCACCTTTACAATCGGTCAATAGAAATATTCACTTCTTCTGGGGCACGTCATTCCTCTGTGGGTGGAGGGGGGATGTTTATCTGTTAATGTTCTTTTTTTTCCAGGGTCTGCGGAGGGAGGGGGGAGAAATACCATACCTGTCCATCATCACATTACCTATTGCATTGCCCGTAACAGAGAGACGTGCATAAACACAGAGCGGGCGTAGAAGATGGAACCTTGTTTATATGGTCACCTCTTGGCATGTAACGTGTATTTTCCATGACGATTGATCCATTACATGTGTTTTGTCAGTATGCAGTTCTTCACATGAGGACTGCTCCGTTAATCCCCCCTCTGTTACAGTTTAGTTGTTCAGTGTATGGCGTAATACAATGGACCAAATGGGTAAGGAAGGGTCCTCCTGCTGCACGGAGGGGAATGCTGTGCTAGAGTCTCCATAATTATAACAAGTCATGGGGTATAGTAACTGTAACTAATATGAGCTGCTCTCCTTCCATGTCGGTGGAATGGGGGCATGATGTCATTCTGCTGGTCATTTGGAGGTGTCCAGTATAACAAGGTGCACAATGTGCGGCCTAGTATCGTACAAAACGTGCAGCACCTAGATAACGGTTCAGTGTTCCCCTAAATATGATCAGTTGGGTATCATCAGCACTTCCTTTGCAGCGTTCACATACCGCTGGTGGTTTGTGCTAGAATAACAATAGAAAGCTAAGAAGTTCATATTTCTCTATCCTGCCTTCACTTCCATCTGCATTGTATTGCAGAGATAAAGCTGAATTTTCCAAATCCAACACTTTTGGTAGTGTCCAATACCTGGTCCTCCCGCTGTGCTGAGTGGTTTGATCCACTGGCCTCTGCATCACTAAAAGACAGCCGTGACATAAGTGCCACAAGATCATACCACTGAGGTCAGCAGGGGGGACCAGGAAGTGTGTAAGATGCCGATACAGCTCTGATCTCCACTGCAAGCAGTGAGGGAGGGGGGCCAGCTCAGAGAGAAGATCACAGCATATCCGAGAGCTCCTGTACACCTTCGGTGAGAATATGCAGATCTCTTATCACCCGTACATCAGTGGCAGCTACTTGTCCTTTCCTGAGCTACTTTTTATACTTGGGGTGCATATAGTTTTTTGATCTACAGAGCCGTGGCATTTGATGCCCTTGTATAGATTTAATTGAAGGTGAAGCAATGGTGGCAGTCCCATGCATGCACACCTAAACACCAGCAAAATAGGTTTCAGTTAGCATGTTTGCGGCCTTTTACTCATTTAATCACAACTTTTCAGTTGCTTCTATTTGAAGTATTGCCCTAGATCAGGGTAGGGCAACCCTGGTACCCCAGTTGTGGTTAAGCTCCAGATCCCATCATGCATCTGCCTCTGGAAGTCATACCTGTGGCTGTCAGTCTTGCAGAGACTCATGGGATATGTAGTTCCACAACAGCTGGAGTGCCGACATTGCCTACCCCTGCCCTAGATGAAGCACTTGAACCCTATTGAAAATAAAATTTGTATATTGTAATAAACGACCGGACAAACCACAGATATTATTGGCTGTTAAAAATAATTTTCACCTTTTTTATGTGATCAGAAATTCCGAGACTGATCAAAATCAACTATCACCAAACTATTGGAATAACATTGAAATTGGACAAATTGCGTTACAAAGTTGCATATTTCGATGTGGTTGGAAGATTGATGTCCATCATGTTGAACTTCTCACAACTCCTCGGTCATTCGGTCCAGGGGAGCTGTTGAGGAGGAGAAGTCATTTCCTTCCTAAGGGAAGTCGTCTCAGTTCCCTGGATAACAATTGTGTTCTTTTAGCCTTAAGTAATTAGAACTTTGAATGTTATTAGTTGCAAGGAAATCATTCAGCGTCATTGTGTGGGCACCTTCATCCAATGTAATCCACAGTTACAAGTCAGTGACGTGACAGTCCTGCCAAAGTCCATATGAAACAAGCCTGACTGAGACTAGGAGGCCCCATACTGTGATGAGGTGATTCTTACTGCATGTGGTGTGGGTGCTCGCTCCCCTTCCATCCTCTGTGTCTGTCTCATTGTATGATGTGTACGTGTGTGTCACTTATTCTCAAGTCTTCCAGTGGAACTAAACCCCACCTACCACAGCAGACTGTATATTGTACCGCTTGTCACCGAGTGCCCCATCTCTGTCCTCTGGTGACAGCCTACCGGCTAGCAAATAAGTCCCATTATTAGTAGTTGTGCATTTCACAGCACATGCTCTCCCTTTCTTTATTTCTGAACCCCGGTCCTAACAACTTCCACCAATATATACTTAACCACAGTTTTCCTTTGCAAAGCTAGATATTGCATTATAAAGGTAGTGGTGTTTATTGCCTGTGTAGGGAGTAGAGCTGTGGGAGGGGCCCAACCAGAAACTACAGAAGGGGGTGGAGACCAGACCAGTCACCCTACACAAAGAGAGAGAGCAGCAGCAGTGAGCGCTCTTTATTACAGGAAGGGGCGGGGACAAGACCAGTCACCCTGCACAAGGAGAGAGCAGCAGCCGTGAGCGTTTTTTATTACAGGAAGGGGCGGGGACAAGACCAGTCACCCTGCACGAGAGAGAGAGAGAGCAGCAATGACCGGTCTTTATTACAGGAAGAGAACACACAACTATTAGACAATATCTGCTCATCCCGAAGTCCAACTTTAAAGAATTGGTTAAACTGTCATTAGCTTCTTGTTACCTTAATTACATCCCGCTGCCTCTGACTGATGTCATGGTGGCCTGTGCAGGTCAGTATACACAGAGATTCTGGGACACTTGGCGCCGGTAACAATGACGGAGACATTGAGCATCACGTTGTGTGTTTTAGTTCCACTGTAAATGGCAGCACTTGGGTACTAACCTATTTTAAGTTGAATTGTTTGCAATCTGATTACTTTTATTTTATGGGAAATACCATCTGGCATCCTTCTATGTTCTGCAGCCAGGTCTGTGCGTAAAGGGGGTATATACTGTGTGTGTGTGTAATATATGTGCCCTTTTTATTGCCTTAGTGTGCCACATGGTATTGCCGTGTCCCTCTCTGTTCTATGGCTTTGCAGTGCTCCAACCAAAGTAAGAAACGACATTGGGGTAGGAGGGAGCGCACACATTCACTTAGATCTTTGGAAGTTGCAGACGCAAAGTGGAAAGGTTAGGCTAAAGACTATAAGAAACGGCATTCAGAAGTCGTCATCCCGGGATTGCTGGGGTTATATTTGTCCTAAACAAAACCATTTTTTAAGTCTTCTGAAGAGGGGAACATCTTTTCCTTTTCAAAGTATAGCTGTAAAGGGGGGAAAGGATTCTCCATTACACAGCGGACTTCCTGTGAGTAATCCCAGGATACTGTATACATCACGTCCATAGCTTACACTCACTGAGCACACAGGTCCACTAGGACACTCAGATTAGATATGTACACAGTTATGTTTTAGCTTTTTAATTTTGGGCAACTTTAAAGGGAACCTGTCCGCATTGGTCAAATAACTAGTTTATAGGAGGCACCGGCCACAGGGTGCCTTTTACCTTCTGCATAGTGCCCTGATTGGCTGGCCATGCACCCTGTGCTGATGTAAATAATAAAAAATGCACAGGGCTCTACAAGCTTCTCCCTTCTCACAAATGTGACAGTGATTGGGCTTTGTAATTGGTTGCTCAGATACCCCACACTGTATTTTGGGAAGTGAGGGAGATTCATGTGTTGCTCAATTCACAAAGCTACTCGTGATATCTGTTATGTCGGCTCTCAACCAAATTTTCAAGCCCAGTTTGGTGCCATATAAGATGGTGCCGTCTTCAGCTGCTAATGGATAGGAGGGTTTGTTCTACTTTTATGTCCAATTAGATTTAAAAATGACAGTCACATGACTAAAATAAAGCGACTCCTTTTGTGTTCAAGCTTTGTGAATCCAGCCTGTGGTATATCTGAGCACTGTGGTAGGACAGAGCAGGGTATAGGAGCCCGGCCTGCCTTTGATGCCAAGTATAGGTCAGCATCAGGCTATCGCAAATGTTTTCTTTCTCATCCATTGTGGGGCACAGGAAATCATTCACATGCGGGTTATGCTGACGTTTACAGGAGGATTGGACACTGACAAGCTGTAGGCCAACCCAGCTTAACTGCTCCTACTACCAGCGTGCCCCTTTTTGACATCCAGAATGGTCCCCATAAGGGACTGACCATCATCTAAACTAATTGTTCACTCATCAATATACATGACAACCTGTCTGCAGCATATTCCAGTATTCAATAGAAATCCCCCCTGTGAATTGCTAGCATTGTGAATGCCTCATCTGTGTATGAACCGTGAATTCCATTATTTACCTGTTTTGTGTCTTGATAAGTAATTGTCACCTCATCCTATCAGACGTGCCGGGGGGAGTGGGGGCTTCCAGAGACTGCTAAACTGTATCAGGAGACATCATGCATGTGAATGGGACAAGGCACCTTAATCTGTAACTCGTTCATGCCGGGGAGAGCATATGTACATGACATTAGGAAGAGCCTATGCTCCAAGCCATGTTCCGATCCCACGGATACATATTTGTTCTTGTTACATGCAGCATTGTGACAGTTGTGCCGTCTGCTGGAGCAATTGTCGGTAGGATCTAAAGCACTTCCTGTCTAAATGGCAATGGTTTCTATAATGGAACTCATCCCCACCACGTGGACACATCGCCTGCCGTCACAATGCCGCGTGTGCAAGGGAACCTAAAAACAGAATCCTGGGGGCTTGGTGAACCCCAACATTGTGTCCTTCCTAAGATTTCTACACCTACCTTGTGTCTATGTATTTGGGGTATAGAGAGATTCTTTCCCGGGTCCATGGTGTTCTAGTCTTTGTCCATGAATAAATGCAGCGTGCTTGTCACCTCACATTGAGACTCTTCTGAGATCATTCAGAATGTATTGCAGGTGCCATTGGCCTTCATTGACCTGCTTCAGTGGCCTTAGCATTCCCATACACTAGGTGGTTCTGAACGAAAGCCCATAGTCGCTGGCCCTATAGTCATTGTGACCATTAGGTCGACATTGGTCCAGTTGGAGTGCTGGGGATATTCTCGGCTAGGACAGGTTTAGCCTCAGCCAGGCTGCCTAGGGGAAGATACTTTCAGTCCTCAGGTAATGGATCCTGCTCTTGCTATTTTATTCAGACTCCCTAACCGGTTTCCTCCTCCTGCAGGTCGAGAAGGGCCAGTCGGGGCCGCTCGCTGCCTTAAAGCTGGCGGTGTTGGCAGGTGGTGAGATTAAAAAAAAAGGGGGGGGGGGGGGTTCGGATGTCCTATAGATGGGGTGGGACGGCTGGGGCACCACACAGTTGACGTTGTTGCGTGCTTTGCTTGTATCTGGGACCACTCCCCTCCTGATGGCCGTGTTCCTTCTTTTCTAGATGGCGGCTCAGAGGCAGCGGGCTCTCGCCATAATGTGTCGCGTCTACGTTGGATCCATCTACTATGAGCTTGGGGAGGACACCATTCGGCAAGCATTTGCACCGTTTGGACCAATAAAAAGCATAGACATGTCCTGGGACTCTGTCACCATGAAACACAAGGTGAGGACGGAGTGTAAAGCAGAACAGTTTTGCATTAAAAATAAGCAAAAAAAAAGAAGAGGTTTTGCTTGAATACTTTCCTTCATTCCGAAGCTTTCAACTAATGTCTGCTACTGCTCTGTCGCTGGTCTTCTGGGTTGAATGACAGCCAACGTACTTCAACCCGATTTTTCTGAGCCTAGGCTGTCATGGACCCGCCCCCGGAGGTGTGTCATTGTCAGTCTAGGTTCAGAATACTACTGAACTGAAGAGTGAGGACCTGTGACATCACCAGAGCAGCTAGAAGAAAAAAAGATTTCTTTAATAAGGG